GGCGCAGCGGAAGGCAATATGACTTGGGAATTAGAGAGTGGGATGCGAAAGTCGTATCCAGAGTTGTTTGCATCAGGTAAATTTTCGAGGACGAAAATTTCTAAAGTGGGGGAGAGTTGTAACGCCCTGATTCCGATTTTCCCAATTTTGTTGAGTTTCTGATTTTAATTAAGCGATTATTATTTTAATTGTGAAATCTATGTGATAATATGTTATGTGTGCAAATTATGCTATTTTATTAATTGGAGAGTCTTGGGGAATTAAGTTGGAAAATAGTTTAAATATTTCTTAATTAATGATAAGATGAGATATTTTGGGAGAAGAAATATAGTAAAGAGAAATAGAATATAAAAGTATATAGGAGAAAGTGGAGAGAAGAGGAAAAGATAGAAACATAAGGGAAAGAGTAGAGGAAGAAAGAAGAAGAAGAGAAAAGAGAAGGAAAAGATGGGAAAAGCTTGGAATCATCAAGAACAACTTCTAGAGTTTGATTAATCGGGTAAGGGTGTGAAATGTTATTATCTTACCAATGTATATGATATGTATGTGTGTGTTTGGATTGTTTGGATGTTTTCCATCTTTTCCCTTTTAGGGCAGAAATAGGTTTAATCGATAGAAATTGATGATTTAATAGTTAGAACCTGAAATAAATGGCGTAGTTTAGTCGAGGATTGTTGGGCTAAGACTACTAAGACTTGTAGGTTTTGAATCGGGTGATTCTGGAAGTTTCTGAGGTTTTTGGACAATTGAGGTTTTGGAGTACGCAGACGCTCGCTAGCACATTCGCTAGGCGAGCAGGGTGGCGAGCGTTCGCTAAGCGAGCTGCCAGCGAACGTTCCCAGACTTGGGCAGAATGGAAATGAGCCTTTTTGCTAGTAACGAGTGTTGTGGCGAGTTGTTCGCTAAGCGAGGCTCCAGCGAACCAGTAGTGAATCCTTCCAGTAGCTTCTGTTTGCCTTCGCGAGCTTGTTCGCTAAGCGAACTAGTAGCGAGTGTTCGCTAGGACCTCGCTAGGCGAATGTGACAGTGTTTGATTTTCTTGTTGTTTCCATCCAACGTTGATTTTGTGATTCGGATGTGATTAACCCTTTCTCTTAAGGCATAGTTGTATGTTGTGATAAGTTATGCTGTGGGTAGCCGTACGACGTGAATTCTAGATTGTGGAATCGATTGTGAATTGTGTCCTTTTGGCAAATATATGCATTGTTTAATTTGATTAAAAGTGCATGATGATTGTAATGGAGTTTCGTTGCCGTTTGGCGCGATATTGTGAATCCACATTGATTGTATGTGAAGAATGCATGAGAACATATTGTGAATATGTGTGCATTGCTTGATGAATGAAATGATGAGGTGTGAAAGTATGAATACTTTGATTTATTATTGAGATGTGTGGTGTGTGCAATCATGTTATAATTCTTGTGTGATGAATTATTTGAGTATGCATGGGATTAAGATGCGAGAACGGTCTTAAGTGCATATGATTATTGATTGCATACGCATCATTTAGTCAAGAGGCAATGCTTGCTAGTTTCGTGGAGACTGGTGACTTGTCCCAAGCCTAGAAGAGTGGGTTTGAAAGCTTAGAGGACGGGCTTTTGTTGTTATCGGTCTAGAGGACGGACCCGGTTTAAATGTAAAAACAGAAAAATGATAACAAGTGTTGGTACCACATGGCATGAGTTGCATGGAGTCACATGGCATAGATATAATTGTTAATATGAAAGTATGCATGTGTGTATGAATTGTGGAACTGAGAATTGTGAAAGTGCAAGTGTGAATGATATTAATGATGAATGTGGAAGTGTAAGGACGTGTGTTTATGCTTATATATACATAATTATATGCATTGATTTATTATGATAATATTTCTCACCCTTTTGCTATTTTATGATGCTCTATGAGGCATTGCAAAGTAGGTATGCTGGAGGTCCTTTTTGTGAAGCGTGTCTTCATTCTTTTGTCGGTCAGCTCTGATATGTAGCACCGGGTAGCTAGGTTATATGATTCTTTTGTGATACAAATTGTACATGTATTTGGATGTTGAATATTTATGTAAACATGTTTCATGATGATTGAATCCTGATGGATGATAAACATATATGTGTATATTTTGGTGTTATGAAATATTTAGATGTTTCCGCTTTGATTCTAAATATTGAAATGTGGGTATGAGGACTAAGTCCCTCTGTTGATAGTTACCCCACTATTGCATATCTCTATTGAGCAGGTATTGTATGTTTGGATTCAAGTATGATGTGGCGCACCTCTTTTATACCATCTTTTAATTATACTCTGATGGATTTTTAATATGTGCCTAAATGATTTATTTGATTAATCGGGGGTATAGAAAGGGGGTGTTACAACTTCCACCACCAAAGAGAACTTGGGAAAACCAGAAAAACTAGACACTAACTCACCTACTAGCCAAAACATAGATCCATCATAGGATAACGCACCACCACTCCGCAACTTTAAGAAAACCAGACCAGCTACACTCCTGAACATAGACGGCCAAACTAATACCATAAAATACCTACACTATCTACACTAATGAACTAACCCCCCTAACCAACACAACCAGCCACTACTGCAACACAGATTACACACAAAAAAAGGTATTAACCACGAGCGATCAGTTTCATCCTAGACATTCTCTAGGATGTGCAATCTATTGATGTAGATCGAAAGAGAATCCTTTGATCTATGCCTTTAACCACCTCCAACATGTAGATTGAATCTCCTCTAAGTTATTAATTGAACGATAATTCAACTGTCTAAAAATATTTTTATTCCTCCGAAGTCATAAGACCAAACACAGACAATCCAAATTATCGACAATCTCTCTCTATGCATCCTACCACCACTCCATATGCCTAAAAATTGATGGAAATTCTGCACCACGAACTTATGAATAACGAAATCAGTGCGGAGCCAACCTAGTACCTTGCTCCAAGTCACCCAAGCTTGCCCCAATGTAATTGTTACGAGCTGTTTACCCGTGCATAATTGTTACTAGCTGTTTACCCGATGCACGGTAGATTTATTAAATTACTATATATTTTGTATAGATTGTATTTTTTATAAAATATTAAAAATTGTATAGTTGGAATTTAATAAAATAAATAAACAATATGTATAAACAAAAATTCATATACTAATCTACTTTTACAAATCAACTTATCTTATATAAGTTAACAACTAGAATTCAAAATTAAAGATAATAAAAATTAGATAAATCATAATAAAAAAAAGAATAATAAATAAATGAAAAGAAAAAATAAATGAGTGAAAGAAATAAATAAAGATAAAAAATGAGTAATATATTAAGTTAATATTAATAAACAATAATAAAATTAAAAGAACTTCAAAATAAATACCTACAAAAAAAAATTAAAAAAAAAAATTGATAAAACTAAAAAAACATAACATACTATAACATTGAATAAGAAAATTAAAATAAAAAGTAATATTATAATATTCATCTTCTAATTCTCCATCTTTCATTCAACAAATTTTACGAAAAAAAAATGTGTAATTCTTCAAAATATGTATCTATAAATAAATCAAGAATTAACAAATATTAATGAAATTAATTTTATAAAAAAATATATTTTGTAATGCGTCAAAATTTTTACCTAAAAAAAATTTTTAAATTAACAAACATCAATAAAATTAGAAGAAATTCAAAATTAATATCTACAAACAAATAATAAAAAAATGACCAAACGTCAATAAAATTAAAAAAAGGTAAGCTATTATAACATTGAATCATAAAAATGAATTAAAAAAAATGTTATTATATTCAACTTTTTAAACATATATTTTGTAATTCTTCAAAATTGGTACTTGCCAAAAAAATTAAGAATTTAAAATTGACCAATATTAATAAATTTAAAAGAATGATAAAATGAGGACACTTTGTATAAAAAAAAATTATATGGAGAAGTGTAAAGAGAAAACTAATTTAAATAAGTAAAACTTGAAAATATATGGAAAATTAATCATGGTAATCTGGGCCCCAGTGTCACCGATAAACTAGCTGTAGTTTTTAGACGATGTAACTCATCTTGCTTGAAAGCTCCAAGATTGTGATACCATTCTTTCATCGTGCCCGTCATTCTACAGCAAAATTCTTCAATGATCTTATAGCTATCTGCACTTGTTTTCATCATTTGGGTGTCAAGCCAAGCTACAAATTCCAGCAGTCTTTTTCTCCAGCGACTAGGTGGTATATCATCAAAAGTGAACCAAGGACCTCCGTTTGGTTTAGTCCTTTCAGGGACAAGAGTTTCCTCAGGGGATTCTTCTTCAAAAAAGGATTCTTCCTCTTTTACATTCGTCATGAAGAGTCTTGGAAAATAGTTGTCTTCAGATCCTGATTTAGTTGAAAAAGATCTTGGTGTCTCATCTGAAGATGATTCTGCATCAGAGTTGTTGTCATCATCTGAGAAGGACTCGTCTCCCTTTTGTTTTGATGATTCATAGTGATCTTTCTGAGGAGATTCATGATTTGTAGTGATTGCCATGGCTTGGAAGATTTTATTAGGAATTTCTTCTTCCTTTTGGATTTTTGAAGGGGGTGTTTCAGGGATATCTTGAGAGTCTGAGGATGAAGCGCTTAAGCAGGCAGCTTTCCCCTTTGTTTTGGAGGCTGAGGTAGTGGTAGTTCTAGAAGATTTTGATCTGTAGGTTGTTGGTATATATTTAACTGGGTCTGATGGTGATGAAACATAAGTAGGGTAGAAAGGAGAAGGTATTTCTGGTCGTTTGAAATATGTAGGAAAAGTAGGAGGATCCAAGAAAGAGTTTTCAACCGGTTTGGGCTTTCTTTCATGAGAGGCTCTTAAGAAATCATCTATCTCTTTTACTTGGTTTTGTAGACTTCTGATTTCTCTTTCCTTTTGGTCAAATGTTTTACCAAAAGCTCTTTCTTCTAACATCTGCCGCAAATCCCGATCTAGCTGGGATACTTGGGCTTTCAAGCTTCTGTAATGTTTCTACATTTTTTGGGATAAAACCTTGATATCTTCATCTGTCTCGTCTATTTTTTCAGCGATCTTATCTACCTTTTTGTCAAGGTTTTGAAGAATTTTATTTTGAGAAACCATATTTTCAGATTGCCAATTCAGAACTTCCTCAGCCTGAGTTAAAGGTTTAAGCTTCCCATCGGGCTGGACTTCACTCGGATGAATGAAGGGTTTGGATGTTCTGCCTGTGACTAGATTCATCTTTCTTTCCAAAGACGGAAATTGTCGTTTGTACTCTGAAGTTGTGGTTGAATACATAAAGCAAGGAATTGGTTGAGCAACAGCTGGGGGATGTAACGGTTTACAATGGTCTGTTGGTGACCATGTAATAAGATTCGGATCATCAGGTGGTAACAATCCTTCTCTCCTGAGAATTTTTAGTCCTTCCTCGTAGATACAGAGGGGTTTCTTTTTTCCATGGATTCCTACCCATGGCCCATTGTCTGGATCAGATCTCCTTTGAGGAGGTGGCGAGGGTTTACACCTTCCCTTTTTCTTTGTTTTAGGAATAATGATATCTCGGTCAATATCATCATCATGCATCCAGCAGTCACAATCTGGGTCACATCTTGTTGGATCAACATCCCAAATGAAGTGGCCATCTATTTTATCGGTGTAGATAGGTTTTCCCTCTATTGTAACATCATAGACGGGACACCAATCTTCTTTGAGAACTGGTTGAATCATCATTGTCTGGAAGATCGGAGATATTGAGCTCGACCCTTCGTCTGGTTTCTTAAAGATCGTCTTGACTGTTTTGTCAACAGATCTCCTGAAAGTAGCCTCTTGAGATTGGATAGGTCTTTTGTCAACATGAAGTCTCTCATAGTTGGTTATCCATTCAAGGGGAATTAGCTGAGTTAATTCTTCCCTTGTGATCTTTCTTGGAATCTGGACTATGGAGGGTATGTCTTCTTCTCTATTGGTGACAACCAATAGTGAATCAGAAGAGCATCCTGAGATAGGAAGATCTATCGAGTGATTTTGTAAGCGGTATATTATCTGGTGATGGAGGGTAGCTGACATAGCTTCAGGCACTTGGTCAGTTCTGGTGATTTGGATCTGTACTTTCAGTCTTATGGACAAGGTGTTCTCATTAAGACTCACATTATAGTTAGGGAAGATGGTGAGGACGACACTTCCTGCATGAAGTGTAGTTAGAACAGTTCCTATCACAGCATTTTCATAATGGAGGCAGCTGGAGTCCAGAAGAGCTATTTTGCAAAAGACGGGTTGGTTCTTCCTTCCATGAAGAGAAAGGATGAGTCTGAAATCCCCGAAGTGTAAGGTTGTATATCCTTCAGTTTTCCAGTGGTTTATGAGATATTGGGGAATCTCCAGATCTACATACTGCTCTTGGTTTGTAGCTCTTAGGCTGCATTGGTCTAGTCTAGATGACTGGACGTACTCTTTCATATGAGGGCGATTGGTAGAGATAAGATTTCGGATGGATCTGGTAACACTTCTTTGTCTTTTGAAGATGTTGTACGGACTCAATAGAGGAGGTATTGTTTCAGAAATTTGAGCATCTTCAGGAACATGAGAGTACTCAATAAGGTTTTCTATTTTATGAGAATTAGTCTTTTTACAGAGTCTAAGGAGTGATAAAGAAGAAGTAGTGGTAATAGGTTGAGTGCTTGGTTCTGGTGTTTCCATGTTTAAGTGATTTCTCCCTTACTCACTCTCTTTATTATATTCATACCATATGCACCCCTTCTTTTCTGTTCAGGCTCTGATACCAAACTGTCCAGGAGTCTTACATGCCATGAAACCCAGCCTTAACTGTATCGTCCTCCAATAGCCAACCATAGGCATAACATGGACTAACAATTAAAACTGAAATTCATAACAGTAAGGACCGTAGTATGGATCAATGGTCGGATGTTTTCTGATACACAAGATCCTCATTTAGAGGCAGGTGTAGAGCATACTTGCATCTATGAGGGGAATTATGATATGAATACAATAACTAAAGCTTTGAGGGAGAAAGAAGAGATTTTTAGAACATGTTTGTTCTTAAGCACACAAGAGAGTTTATTTGTGATTGCTTGATGAAAATATGTTACAATAGCCCTCCTTTTATAGCCAAGGAGGTACATATAGGACAAAAGAAACACTATTTACAAGCATGGCATTTTTAATACTATATGAATGCCTTTTTCAAAAGTCCGACACACTTATCACTTATGGATTACATTATTGCACAAAAAGACAAAATTTACTATTCATAAACATGCTTGTGATATTTGAAGGACACTTGTTCATTTTTGAAGGACACTTGTCCATTTAGTCTTTGCAAATTGGTCCATGAGAGGGGGACATATTTTGATCAGATAAATTTTCGTCAGAAAAGCAATCTTCACAGTGAGATGACTCACGCTGCCAGATGTCCTCCATCATGTAGGTGTGATCCGCTAACCTCATGTTAGCTTCTTCCACCTGTCCTTCAGAGACTTCGGCTTCCATTGGAGAATCTGGTTTCTGTTGTGTGGCTTGAGCCGAGCTTTCTCCAACTTCTGGTCTTCTGAATTTTTCATGATGTATGCAAGTTGAACTATCATCGAGTTTCTTTGGATCATAGAGATTGATGTAGTTAACATACTCAAGTAATTCCCTTGTGATTTTTAGATTGGGAGGACATTCATCAATGGTTTCCCATAGTTGAACATAACTCTTACAATTGAGTAACTTAGTTGCAGGATCTATCACATAGGGCCTGTGTAGAAAGAAAACAGACTTGATTTTACCAATATCTTCTGGAGATAATCTTCGTTCTTTGACCTCGTCGATGACTGGTTTTAATTGATCTCTCCATCATTGTAATGGAGAATACCATTCAAGAGTGGTCCAAATCAAAGACTTGTGCTTTTCGGGATCCATTATATGTTGATACATGGCCTCAGTGAGAATGAGAATAGGTATATAATACAAACAAGTGGCACACCAAATATACCACAAATGGTTTTTTGTGAATTTAGCATTTGGGTTTATTAAAATTGGCAATAGAAAAGGTGTATCTGGGAAATAAGGACTATGATCTGGTGATTTATTCCTTATGATTTTTGTCATGTAATAGAAAAGATTGTTCCTGGCATAGTGCTTGAGTTGGGACAGTGAAGAGGAGGTCGTTATTCCTGGAGGAAGATTCTTTGTTTTGGATGCATGGGTTGGTAGTGGTTTGACCATAAGAATTAAAGGGAAAGTGTGCTTGGCTGTGATGATCTGGATGGGTTTCATGGGTCTAGATAGTAGGTATGGGATTACATTTTGGGTTCCCTTGATATGTTTTACTGAGAAATCATATCTGGAAAACCAATCTTTGAGCCTAAGAGTTTGAGGATCGGGAGGCATCTTATTTTTGAATTCAAGGATCTTAGGGAAAGAGGAATTGTCCATCTGGACTTCAAATTGATATCCTCCTAGGTGGAAGTCAAATTTTTGGATCCCCATCTTTACAGCGAGGGCTTCTTTGTAGGTGGTGTGGTAGTGTTTTTCAGCTTCTTTGAATTGGCCACTGGCATGGCCACAATAGTATCTTTTTCCTTCAATTTCTTCTATCAGAACTGCTCCCCAATAATGATCACTGGCATCGGTCTGTAGAATTCTTTTTCTGTTCCCTGGGATTTTTAGAGCAGGAGGAGTTTGTGTGATTTTCTTTAAGGCTTTCACTGCTTCAGTTTGTTGTGTTCCCCATGGTGGAGGTTTTTTCTTTAACATTTGGGATAGAGGACTCGTGTATCTTGCCAGTTTCGGCAGGAAATCTCAGATATAATTAATTATACCAAGAAATTGTTGGATTTACTTAACTGTGAGATTTTCATCAGGAAAGTTTAATAGTTCTTGGGAAATATGAGGCTAAGGTTGATATTTCCCTTGGGAGAAATGCATCCCTAGGAAATCAATTTCTGTTTGTCCCAATTGACTTTTCTTCTCAGAGAGCATCATTCCGTGCTGTTGGGCTATTTGAAGAAATTGGCCCAATAATTGTTTATGGGTTTTTTCATCTTTTGAGAACAATAACACATCATCGATATAGATGAGGATACTGTTGAGGATGGGCTCAAAAATTCTAGTCATGGATTTTTGAAAGAGTGATGGGGCTACCTTAAGCCCAAATGGTAACACGGTCCATTGGTACTGGGTGTTAGGAATGCATAACGCCGTTTTATAGCGATCTTCAGGGTCGATACCCAATTGCCAAAATCCTGACTTAAGGTCAAACTTAGAATAGATCTGGGCATCTTTGATGAAAACATTTAAGGACGAAGCTTTTGGAATGGGAAATTTATCATCTTTGAGAAAATGATTTAGAGGTTTGTAATCAATTACTAGCCTTTTTTTCCCCTCAGCTTTTCAGATCTCTTTTCCACATAGAATGCTTGGCAAGCCCATTCTGATTTGGTGGGTTCTATCAAACCTTGTTTGAGGAGTTGGTTGCATTCTTCCCTAGCTAATGTGTAATCTTATGGGCTCATCCCTGGATGAGTGGCCTTGGTTGGATTAACATCTTCATTGAGCTTGAAGGGAAGTTGAGCGAAGAAGTCCTTATTCTTCCATATAGGTTTTGGGTGGCGGAATTTCTCATGGCTATCTGCACATAGTCTGAGAAGGTTGGACTTGATTTCTTCATAGCCAGCAGGAACCTTAGAAAGTGAATATAGTTTTAGTATCCCAGAATAGGGTTTGAATTCTCTTTTGAATTTGATTCCTGTGGGGAGAATTTGAAGTTTAATTGCTTCTGAATAGACATCCATTCCTACCACAATATCTTTGTTTGGAAGATTACTGCCAATGACCTTGGTCCAGACTATGCATTCTGGGAAGAATTTAATTCCTATTTTCTCCTTGGTCATTAGATTTGTCTTGAAAACTTTTCCATCTACTGCTACAAAGTATGCAGCATGTGTCACCCATGATTCTGGAGGGAGAATGCTGGGATTCATCATGGTAATCTGGGCCCCAGTGTCCATATAAGCTATAACTTTCTTCGGACGGGAAAACTTTGTTGCAAGAATATGGACTTCAACACAAGGAAGTGGTGTAGTAGGAAGAGAACTGCATATCTCTTTGATGGAGTAAACTGGAAGATATTTGTCATCTTCGGACTCCGAGAATGATGCTTCATCGGACGAGGAGTCTTGAAGGGCAAAAATTGTTTCTTCATCAGCAGAGCTTTGTTCAGAATACAAAGATTCTAAGATTCCTTCTAGAGGTTGAAGAGAGTTAATCAATTTTGCGGCTTTATGGGTGTTATTGGGACATTCTTTTGAGAAATGCCCTTTTTTCCCACAAATAAAGCATCTCTGATTTTTCCCCTTTCCTCTGAAAGGTTTTCTTCTAAAGAACTTCATATTCTTTCTTTTCTTTCCCTTGAAGATCCTGTGAGGTTTGGTGTATTTTTTATGTTTCTTTTTTGTTGAACAACCACACCTTTTGTCTTTACACTTAATCTCCAGGTAGGGTTTCTTACATGCTTGGGTGAACTTTGACTTTTGTTCTATAACTTCAGAAAATTGATGATGAAAACTACAAAGCTTTTCAAGTGCCTCTAAGGTCACCTGGTGAATCTGGCCAAGGCTCATAGTTTTAATATCCTTTTGTGCTGTAGCTAACATTCTATGAATTTCTGGCTAAAGTTATTGTGATAGAGAGGATACATAGGTATTCTTGAGACTTGGGTCATTGTACCCATTAAGGACATAATACCTATGTGTTATCCTATGATAATGCATGTCGAGGTCTTTTGTCTTGAGAGAACGACACTTCATCTCAAAGAATTCTTGTCTATTTTTCCTATCAAATATTTCCATATCACCGATAAATTCTCGATGAAGGACCCCAAGAACACTAGCTGTAGTTTCTAGACGATGTAACTCATCTTGTTTGAAAGCTCCAAGATTGTGATACCATTCTTTCATCGTGCCCGTCATTCTACAGTAAAATTCTTCAATGATCTTATAGCTATTTGCACTTGTTTTCATCATTTGGGTGTCAAGCCAAGCTCCAAATTCCAGCAGTCTTTTTCTCCAGCGACTAGGTGGTATATCATCAAAAGTGAACCAAGGACCTCCGTTTGGTTTAGTCCTTTCAGGGACAAGAGTTTCCTCAGGGGATTCTTCTTCAAAAAAGGATTCTTCCTCTTTTACATTCATCATGAAGAGTCTTGGAAAATAGTTGTCTTCAGATCCTGATTTAGTTGAAAAAGATCTTGGTGTCTCATCTGAAGATGATTTTGGATCAGAGTTGTTGTCATCATCTGAGAAGGACTCGTCTCCCTTTTGTTTTGATGATTCATAGTGATCTTTCTGAGGAGATTCATGATTTGTAGTGATTGCCATGGCTTGGAAGCTTTTATTAGGAATTTCTTCTTCCTTTTGGATTTTTGAAAGGGGTGTTTCAGGGATATCTTGAGAGTCTGAGGATGAAGCGCTTAAGCAGGCAGCTTTCCCCTTTGTTTTGGAGGTTGAGGTAGTGGTAGTTCTGGAAGATCTTGGTCTGTAGGCTGTTGGTATATATTTAACTGGGTCTAATGGTGATGAAACATAAGTAGGGTAGAAAGGAGAAGGCCTTTCTGGTCGTTTGAAATATGTAGGAAAAGTAGGAGGATCCAAGAAAGAGTTTTCAACCAATTTCGGCTTTCTTTCATGAGAGGCTCTTAAGAAATCATCTATCTCTTTTACTTGGTTTTATAGACTTCTGATTTCTCTTTCCTTTTGGTCAAATGTTTTACCAAAAGCTCTTTCTTCTAACATCTGCCGCAAATCCCGATCTAGCTGGGATACTTGGGCTTTCAAGCTTCTGTAATGTTTTTGCATTTTTTGGGATAAAACCTTGAGATCTTCATCTGTCTCGTCTATTTTTTCAGCGATCTTATCTACCTTTTTGTCAAGGTTTTGAAGAATTTCATTTTGAGAAACCATATTTTCAGATTGCCAATTCAGAACTTCCTCAGCCTGAGTTAAAGGTTTAAGCTTCCCATCGGGCTGGACTTCACTCGGATGAATGAAGGGTTTGGATGTCCTGCCTGTGACTGGATCCATCTTTCTTTCCAAAGCCGGAAATTATCGTTCGTACTCTGCAGTTGTGGTTGAATACATAAAGCAAGGAATTGGCTGAGCAGCAGCTGGGGGATGTAACGGTTTACAATGGTCTGTTGGTGACCATGTAATAAGATTCGGATCATCAGGTGGTAACAATCCTTCTCTCCTGAGGATTTTTAGTCATTCCTCGTAGATACAGAGGGGTTTCTTTTTTCCATGGATTCCTACCCATGACCCATTGTCTGGATCATATCTCCTTTGAGGAGGTGGCGAGGGTTTACACCTTCCCTTTTTCTTTGTTTTAGGAAGAATGATATCTCGGTCAATATCATCATCGTGCATCCAGCAGTCACAATCTGGGTCACATCTTGTGGGATCAACATCCCAAATGAAGTGGCCATCTATTTTATCGGTGTAGATAGGTTTTCCCTCTGTTGTAACAGCATAGACGGGACACCAATCTTCTTTGAGAACTGGTTGAATCATCATTGTCTGGAAGATCGGAGATATTGAGCTCGACCCTTCGTCTGGTTTCTTAAAGATCGTCTTGACTGTTTTGTCAACAGATCTCCTGAAAGTAGCCTCTTGAGATTGGATAGGTCTTCTGTCAACATGAAGTCTCTCATAGTTGGATATCCATCCAAGGGGAATTAGCTGAGTTAATTCTTCCCTTGTGATCTTTCTTGGAATCTGGACTATGGAGGGTATGTATTCTTCTCTATTGGTGACAACCAATAGTGAATCAGAAGAGCATCCTGAGATAGGAAGATTTATCGAGTGATTTTGTAAGCGGTATATTATCTGGTGATGGAGGGTAGCTACATAGCTTCAAGCACTTGGTCAGTTCCAGTGATTTGGATCTGTACTTTCAGTCTTGTGGACAAGGTGTTATCATTAAGACTCACATTATAGGTAGGGAAGATGGTGAGGACGACACTTCCTGCATGAAATGTAGTTAGAATAGTTCCTATCACAGCATTTTCATAAGGTAGCTGCCGTCCAGAAGAGCTATTTTACAAAAGACAGGTTGGTTCTTCCTTCCATGAAGAGAAAGGATGAGTCTGACAGCCCCAAAGTGTAAGGTTGTATATCCTTCAGTTTTCCAGTGGTTTAACCTATTTTTTAGTCATTTTTATATTTATTAATTAATAATTATTATTTCTCATACTTTGAGTTTTCTTTTTAATATTTAATAATTAATAATTATTTAAAAAAATATGTATTTATAGTGAAGAATTGAATAAGGGAAGAAGTTGATTTTTGTTAGTGGGATAAATAGTAGGATAAAGTAGTTAATTTGAGTCCTATTTTTTAATCCTTTTTATATTTAATAATTTAAAATTTATTTAGAATTCTAATCTTTTAGCCCTTTTTATGTTTAATTATCCATGCTTTGAGATTTTTTTATATTTAATAATTAGTTATTATTATTTTTCATATTTTGGTGGAATTTTGACGGTAAGTTTTGGTAAGCGAAGTTATAGAATTATAATTTTAATGATGTATAAATCAAACTTAAAATGATAAATGCCGAAAACCTATTTTTGAAAACAAAAAGTAATCGCAACAATCAAATAATTGAATGATAACTAATAGCTTTTAATAATAAAAAAATATATGATGCATGCATAGGTAAAGATCTTTTAAAAAGTATTTTAATAAAAGAAAAATCTATGATGTTTGCATAGGTAAAAATAGACAACGTTTAAATAAAATTAAAATCATTATACATCAATAAAACATGAGTTTTTAAAAATAATATAATATAAAAGAGTTAGATTATTTAATTCACAACAAAATATAACAATAAAAAATTTACAAAATAAAAATTTATTTTAAAATATAATGAAAAAACTTAGATAGACAAACTTTCTTCAAAAGAGAAAAGAGATTAGGGTATTGGAGAAAGGAGAGAGATGAGAAATATATAAATACATATAAATACATACATGTGCTAAGTACAATAGTGAAAACTCTATCGGAGATGTACTAGATGAGGACTGTTTGTTTTGTGATACATAGATATCATCATTTTTTCCAACTATAAGATAATGTATTTATAGTCTTGGTTCTATTAAGAAGGATTGATTCATTGGTATTCTATATTTACTAGATTTGACCAATTTGAAGAGAAAATAGGAAGAGTCGCTTCTTAAATATGAAAAGCAAGGCAAAGACGGTAAAATTCTACTATTTTTTATTATTATAAATAATATATTTTATGACGAAAATTTTATTTCACGTATTGAAAAATCAAGGTCAAATATCTAGTTACACCCTATTTTTATAGTCTTGGTTCTATTAAAAAGGATTGATTCATTGGTATTCTATATTTACTAGATTTGAACTCAAACTGATTATAGTGTTAACCACTAAGACAAACAGTCTTAGTCTTCTCAAGAAATCTGACCACACTTGATCTCTTAAAGAATCTTTTTCTAAAGATAAATTAACAATGTGTTTAAACGTTGCTTCTAAAAAACTATATCACAACTGTGATTTTTACACAAGTTTAAGAACGAAATAGAAACTATTCAGCTTTTGAAGAATATTTGTATGAGTTGCTTGTTGAATGATTTGTCAAGTGATTCGTCAACTTTGAAGTGATGCTGAGACTTGCTTTTATAGTACTTGAAGTCCATTTCTCAAAGACTGTGCAACGCTGTGCATTCTGTTGCTTTTGTCTTCTATTGACTTTTCCTTTCTCAGAAGGGGAATGTTCAGACAAATCATTTTTGTCTGAGTTCCTGTGTCATGCACGAATGAGTAAAAAGCCGTTTGGATAAGGACAAGGAATATGCCAACGGATCTTTATTTGAACAACATCTCCTGATGATGTTCCTTGTTCTTCAGATCAGAGTTACTCTATCAGAATTTTGCAGCAAAGTGCTTTAGCGTAAATATCTTTATCAGAGCAGACTTGCTTATCAGAGCCTCTGTACTTGCAGCGTTAAGTATTTCCAGAGTCTTCTGAAACTTTACTGTATGTTCTTTACTCAAATTCTTTTCAGCTTCGCTCAGAGTCATCTGTAGCAGATCAGAGTCTTCTGACGTATTACTTCTGACCCTCAGAGCTTTATCGTTCTATAGTGTTCAGATGCGTTCTTACTTCCAGAATAATATTAATTTTGATATTTAAAACAAATAAACACTTGAACAGAATTAGAGTATATATTTCTTTTATACAAAATTCCATTTATGTTATCATCAAAACAATGAGATATATTAAACACCAATATGTGTTCTAACAATGATAAGAGTTGGGACTTGACCAAGTTGTAAGGACATGATCGGACCATATTTTTTGGCAAATGATTGAAGTTTTCGATGAGGAAGGATGCCTAATATGTGGAGGTTTCCAATTATCAGTAGGGTTGGTGGACCTGGTGGCTTTTTATGATTTATGGTTTTTTGTTTTGGATGTAAGAAAAGTTTGAATAATAGGTATATGAAAGTGAAGATAAGGAAAGAAAGTATTGCTGCAGAATACATGCCTACAATGAATGGGTTGGTTTGCATCGAGTAATGAGGTTAATGTTCTTGTTTGTGGATTTGTGGATGGTTTAAGAGAGATTTATACAAGTGATAGGTTAATCATAGTTATTATTATTATTATTATGATTAGGATGTTCCTAACAATTTGGGGGCCAAATCACAGATTGCTACGTAGAAATCAAACTGAAAATGATAAATCCCGGAACAAAAATTTGCAGAAACTAAAACCAAAAAAATAGTAGAAATCACTGGGACCAATTAAATATTTAACTCAAAATAATATATACATAATATTATACTCATATACTACATGCATCAATTATTCAAAATTTCAATTTAACAATACAGCAAAAACAGACAGAACAAAATAAAACAATGTATTGAATGTGAAATTTGTTGAGATGAAAATTGTAAAAATGGACGAGTCCAACTTAAATTTGACCCCTAGAGATTTCACAAGTTAACTTCTGATTTTAACAATTTTGGTGAGTTTGTAGAGATGAGCATTAGGCAGAAATGTTCTCAAAATCAATAAAAACCAATTCAGGTTTCTGTATGTAGGCTGTACAATATGATGTAATGTGATACACTATTAACTTACAAGCAATTAAAAAATATCGGGCCGATTTTTCTTAATAAAACTTTGTTTGATCACGAACCTAATCTAAGTCACCTAGAGATACAGAAGACACTAACTAAAGCACATCATATATCTAAATCATCATCTGGGTCTTCATCAGAATCGGGCATCTCATCATCTGAATCACGAAAATATATAATCTCACCTAGGGTAGAATCCTCCTTTTTACCACCCCTTGAAAGTGGTGCCCCCTCACCGCTGCTCTCTTCAAGGGATTTTCTACCATCATAAATTTGTATGGGACTACCATTTCCTAAAAGAAAGAGAAGAGCTTAAGCATAAAAGCACATATATGATTGGAACACTAAGAAACGGAGCAAATACATGTTGATTTCATACCTTGGTGTTCAAAAGGAAGCACAACCTTTGCCCTGTCAATTTGCTCCTTTTCTGACAGCTGGAGATTAAAATGTACCTGTTAAAAACATAAAGTCAATCTACTTCATATCACAAACCATTTCTTGTTCGGTCTCTGTCGTAAGCAGATACATGCATATTCTGCTATCAAAAGTATCCTCGTGTGCGGATACAAGTATATGAACAAACTAGGTGCTTAGCATGTGTAGGCATGGCTTCAGAACATGAGATGTTTCTCCAAGACAGTTTATACCTCGCTACCATAATAACCATACCATTTATTGCCGGTTCAACCAAATAGGACCTAACATCTAAAAAGTTTTCATTTCCTTAAAGAAACACCGTGTGAATTATCAGCATTATTTGATAAGGGGATTCAACAAAAATAAGACATCTTTTATCGAACATTTTGTCTGAAAATTAATCATAAATCTCTAATAATAACAAGGCAGATAGAACTTGGGCCTCTGCTTCAAGTGAAAGAGACATGACTTCGCAAAAACTAAAGACTGACCTTTGGCAGTAAGCCTGCAACAGTTGTTCCATCTTCTGCTGAAACAGAAGCAAAGCTGATTCCTCCGGCTTCAACTTTAAACCTTTCACACTGAATAAAAGACACGAGACATATTACATCATTGCGCCAATTTTTAAGACTAGTCTTTCCAAAAGAATTTCACAAACAGAAAAAAAGAGATCACCAGCACTCTAACACGTCCATTTCTGCGTTTAAGTCTGACATTAAATTTTCCTTGGGTAAAATTTTTCTCTGATAAGAACTTCTCTGAAGAATGATGATCTGGTTCTACACTGGCCACCATGGAGGACATGTACTCAAGAGCAGCTGCAGCCCTCTCCTCGTGAAGCTCAGAATGCACTAATCCAAATATACTTGAAATTTGATCTGTAAGCATGTAACATCAATGAATTAAGAGAGGGTATTGTTACTGCATCAAGTCAACCCAAGAAAACAAATATTATTAGCCAAAATAACCAACTCGTTCACCCGTTATGTACTTCTGGTACTCTAAAGTATGTAAGTAAAATAACAACAAAATAAACATATTATGCAAGAAACCTTGATCAAAATAGTACAAGAGAAAATACCATGACTGCGCAGATTGCTTAGAAGACCTGCAACTGACTGCAAAGATGCATGTCTCAACAGTTCACTTAGCTGATAATATCCAAAAAAGTATCCATTAGGAATATATATACACAAATAGATAATACAACAAGATTAACAAAGAAACTGAACAGTCTTAATTAGAACACTAATGATTTTGAAAGTTATTGTATAACTTCTGGCTCAATAATTCTAGGGTAAAAGAAAAATCAGAAACTTGCGGGCACAAAAAGGATAGATAGTTATTTGTGTTAGCTTGGAAAAGAAAAGAAAAAACCATCCGTACAAGTTTTATAACCATAAAATATGGACCTAAATACATATACAAATACAAATATTCTTGAAATTTGAATTACAATTGCAAAGCCACATAGAGCATTGACTACAACAAAGCAACGTAGTAAATTCAACTAAGCTCAAAGCTAGGTCAAGTCAATGATATTATAGTATTACCGAGTCAATCGCAACACAGAACCGGGATTTATTTTCTCCAACTAAACCTGAAAGTATATTAATTAAAAATAAAAATAAAAAAAATCATTCAAAAAAAAGAAGAAACAAAGAACAGTTATTTTGAAAGCACAAAAACCATTAAGCAACATAAAAATGTTTCTTGAGGGAAAAATATCCCAATTCACAATTCAACAGCAAGCAATACCTCTGCCGAGTTCAGTAATCGCCAAAAACAACTTATCAATATCCTTGACTGATTTATAAGGACTAGTAGCAATTGAAATTTGGGCCGAAGGAGTATTAACATCTCCAGATTTCCTTGTCTTATCTTTCCAACCAAGAGGATCTGTATAACAATCCAAAACATGAATCCTGCAAAGTAACCCATTAGAAAAGGCATTATACAAATTTTTGAAATACTCATTAAAATCCTGAACTTTCTAAACATTGTTTTCAATGTTTCCAAGTTTTTAAAAAACGGCCAGGACAACACGGTATCAAAAGGTGTCGATACCAATACCATTATTCACCGTTTTTATAATAAAGAACAAATTGTGATTAATTCACACCACAGGGACCACAATCATTGTTGCATCACCTATATTCTACCGACCAAAATCGAGTAAAATTGATTCCGCTTTCCAAAATCAATTCTACTTGCAGCTAGGAATTGTAGCTTTTGAGTCTAATCTTGATTCTACTTGTAATTTTGAGTCTAAAGTTTATTTGTATGACTTTTACAATGAAATTGAAATTTGAAATTCATTGTTAATCTCAATTTTGCAGAAATTTATCCAAACATAAACCACTACCTTCAACTCACTATTCACTTTAAACCGGAATCAATTTTACATAATTAAGTTACTCAAAATCAATTTTCTTCACCGCAGCACTTAAATATCATTACAAAGCGGCATATTCAAACCACAAATTTAATCTGAACAAATTCAAAATAATTACCATTTGTTGGAAGAAGCAAGTTCCAATCCCTTATTCTTCAACAAATCGGCGTAAAACGAAGGACTCTGAGAAAGCGCAACGATGACAATACCGGTATGAGATTTTTGTGCGGCGAAGTGTGAGGAGAGTTGAAGAAGAATGTGAGAGAAAACGTGGAAGGAAAAAGGTGAAGATATAGAGTCTTTGATTGTGAGAGTAGGTGCAAGCTCTCCTTCTAACGCCCCATCTCTTAAGGATCGAAAAATTGAATCAGCCATTTTTGGAGGATTCTAGAAGTTTGGTTTAGGTTTCAGGGGAAATGAATGATATCAAAAAGGGTGAAGGTAGAAGAAGCAAAAAATTATATTCGATAGAAAACACTAGTAAACGGAATTCGTGTGAGTTCCACTGTATGTTACGATAGATACGATATTTCTTGGTACACACTTCCACTGCTTAGACCTGCCGGCTGGGTTTTGGGCAAAGACACAAGGAGGGGTTTTGATTTTGGAACTGTGGGGTGAGAGAGAGAAAATTTTACTCATGCCGTTAGTATTGTCTCTGTTACGTTTTTTTTAAATATATTTTTATTTATCAAATAATTTTATTATTTAATATTTATTATTTTTTTAATATATAATTTTTGTTCATCAAATAAATTGCTTATTAAATAAATTGCAATTAAATTTTTTGATATGTATTTTTTTTAATGTGTATATTTTTTATTAAATAATTTGTAATAAAATTTTTTGATATATATTTTTTCTTTATTAAATATTTTGTAATTAAGTTTTTCGATATGTATTTTTTTTTCACCAAATAACTTGCAATCAAATTTTTCGGTATGTAATTTAACCGATGAAGAAAAATTATATACTAAAAAACTTGATATCAAGTTATTTGGTAAAGAAAAATTATATACCGAAAAAGTTGATTGTAAGTTATTTGTTGAAGAAAAAATACATGTCATAAAAATGTATAGCGAATTATTTAGTGAAGAAAAATATATATCAAAAAACTTAATTGCAAGTTATTTGATAAAAAAAATACATACCACAAAATAATAAATATTAAATAATTAAATTATTTGAAAAGTAAAAAAAGCAGAATTGGAATATTTAAAAAAAAAAGTATAAGGGTAGAGGAATAATAGTGTATAGATATAAGATAAAATTTTCGTAAGAGAATCCAGAAATTATTTCTTTTTTGGTTTATAAACTCTAGTTTTTAGGGGAATGAATCCTAATATTGTAGAGTTTGATCTTAATCATAAATTTGTTCAAGCATTGTTTCTATTAAGAATCAAATTCGAATTCGATGTTTTTCAAATTTTTATTTCTCAACCCATGTTTGTCTATGACTCAGGTTAAGTGTTAAATTAAGAATTATTTTACTAGTAACCAAAAGTATATGTTTGTGCTAAACTGAAAATTATTTCACTAATAACCAAAATAATTTATTTGTGTTAGATACACCTCCAATTTGGCCACATAATTTAAAACACAATAGTTACCAAAATTCTTCTAAATTAATATTTACTGTTAAGTGATTAGAACAAATTGAAATTCAAACTAAACTATAGTGTTTAAGTTGGATTTTTTTTAAGTTCGATCAAAAACCAAAACAAATCAATGAAATATGATGTTAATTAGTTTGAACAATGGATTTTCAAAAGGATCTTCAACTTCAATTTGGTTCAGATCTTGATAACGAGAGATTTATAATTGATTGAAGGAGACGTGTCCTTAAAAATAATTGGTCTTTGAGATATTATTGATTTTTACAGGTTGTTATACAGATTGAGATGCTTGTCAATGGTGGTATGAATTTTATTAAAAAGAAGTAGGTTCTTCTCTCCAGAAATGTCTTAGTAGTGACTATGTGGAAGGCTATGGATAAGACGGAGTTCTTCTCATATCTTTGGACAATATACCGCTTAAGAAATCGGTAGGATAAAGAGGTCGATTGCTACGCACCAAGGCTTGGAGCAGAATTAGTGATATTTGAAGATTTAAGAAATGTAATTCGACTAAAGATTGCATAGAAGAGTTTGGTTGTGTGTTGTATACAAGTCAAGATTCAAATAGGAGATTTTATTTTCTCAGTTGTATTGTGGATTGGTGATTGTATAAAATCTTAGAAATATTTTTCAAATAATAAGGAACTATGCAGGTTTCAACGGAAAATTATTGAAGAGTACGTGTAGACAAAGCAAGAATGAACGCCAAAGCACTATAAACTTCGGTGTCATATCTCTCTCTTGCATTTAATTTTGTATTATTTGCATGCATAAGGTATTTCAATTTCATCGTAGTTATCGTTTGTTCATTAATGGCGATTTATTACATAAGCATTAGGTTGTACTGGAATTGGATAACTTGTTGAGCTACCTGGTGATTAAGTTTATGTGAAACAATTTGACATTATAATTATATTTATTGAATCATTGTGTAAACACTTCTCGTGCATTATGCAATTGAATCAATCCATGTCAAGTATTTCATCATATTAATCTTTGATATTTGTGAAACGATATGTGTTAACTTGATTAATATTTGAATAGTATAATTTTCATTTTCGCATCAAACATTTTGCTTGCAAACTGTTTTTGAAAACTCTCATTTTGAAAATGGCTATTGAATTTTTTTAATTTGGTTTTATTCATCCCATCCTTTAGACCGTTTTTCTACTTCTATATTGATAGATTCGCAAGTGCACTTAAATATTATGGTAATTGAAAGATATCGAACTCACAGAGACTAATTATCATATGTATCATTATCTATTGTTACACTGTAAATCTAAGGCTAATGCTAGTAATTTTGGGATGCAAAAGAAATGAAATAAGCTAGCTTAGAAAATCAATTAAAAGACGGAGACCGGAATGTGGCTCTCGCCAACCTACAGTACTCGCAAAGTTGCTCAAGATTAAAATTAAATTAATATTGTCTCATAAGAAAAAGAATTAATTTAAAGAAATTACTCGCTTTTGTACAGTCGAAATCAAATTTTTGGCCTAAAAAATATATTTCCGTTTTCGCGTGTTCAGCGTGTTAAAATATAAAATTTTATTTTTTGAAATTAATTACTTTTAATTATTTGAAAAGTGGTTTAAGGTGGAAAAATAAATTTAAAGGTATTACCGGCTTTCGCTCGTCTAATACCAGATTTTAAGCGCATAAACATTCGTTTTTGTGTGTTCGTTTATGTTCTTAATATCCCTTTTTGAAAATAATTACTTTTACAAATGAATTAAAATATTTTTTCACAGTGCAAATAATTAAAATTTGATTTTTTTTCTAAGTCAGGTATAGGTTCCGTTCTTTCGAATTGGAACCGATATCTCTAAGTTGTGTTTTTGTAGTGAACATTTTAATTAAAAACAAAGTAAAATCATCCCCTAAACAAATCCCATTTTATTCATAACTTTAACGACCTAAATCCCATTTTATTCATAACTTTAACGACCTAAATGTGAGCATTGTCAGTAAGACAGTCCTTCGGACTCTATGAAATTAGTCGGACATATTGCAAACAGAACAAAAACAGTATTCAGAAACTGAATCTGAAATTTTAAACATACTAATTATACTAATATAATAATTGAGGCACATGCAAGTGATAGCAAAAATAATAAAATCAGTAAATGAAGAACTTGGAAATAAAGTGACAGTATGAAAAATAATAAGAAAAACACTACAAAGTGACAGTATGAAAAATAATAAGAAAAACACTACAAGAAAAATGTTTCACAATGTCATAATGTTGCGATGTGGAATTAACGTGGCAAAATAAGGCAATTGGGTCGTGAATTTCACGTCACAAGCACTTTGTAATAGTTAAATAAGATTTCAGATGGTGAGACGTTAATTTTTTTTTTTAAATATTGCGTTGTGTTAAACACATCACAACATATATTTTCAAATAAATCAAAAAAGTTGTGACGTGAAAATCACGTCGCAACATACTTTTCAGAAAATTCAAATTAACGTGAAAATATTTTCTAAAAATTGATGGCTTGGTCAGGATTATATGACCGTTGTGTCAGGTAGTTACTTTCTTATTGTCACGTGAATTACACGTCGCTGAGTTGCGACGTGATTTCCACGACGCATGCAAGTATATATATCAAATAATTTTGTTCCTCACGCACAGAACCTCCACTCTTCAACTCAATCTCATTTTCTCACTCACTTTTCAACTCATTCTCAGATTTCTTCCTCCCCCTTCAACTCATTCTCATATTTTCTCATCTTCATCCTTACTTTTCCAACCTCAATTTTCTCATCTTTTATCTCTTCCAATTTTGTAAGGTAAAAATTAATTCATATTATTTTTCCTTTATTTGATTTTCTGTTAATTGAATTTTATTTTGTTATTAGTATTTTTATTTTTTATTTTTAATTTAAGTTATTAAGAGAAGAAGTTGCTCCACAGCTTCATTGAGGTATTTTGACAATTATATATATATATATATATATATATATATATATATATATATATATATATATATATATATATATATATATATATATATATATATATATATATATATATATATATATATATATATATATAATTTTGCTGTTTAAATTTATATGTTAGATTAGTTTCGTTGTTTGGGTTTTGACAATTATATTTAAATTTGTTTAAATTGATATGTTAATATGTTTTTAGATTTGTCAAATTCATATATATGTTTGTATAATTTTTTTATATAATATAATATAATATTATATTATATATATATATATATATATATATATATATATATATATATATATATATATATATATATATATATATATATATATATATATATATATATATATATATATATATATAATATTTTAATAGCTTAATATCTTTTTTAGTCTCGTATCTTAACTTCGAGTTTATTTTGGTCCTTTAACTTTAAAAAATGGTACATATTGGTCTCTTAACTCTTCAAAACGTTCCATATTAGTTTTGTTTTTCCTATTAGCAACGGAAAACTTCAAAAATCAATCGCTAAATTCATCGCTAATTAGACACAAATGACTAATATGGAACATTTTGAAAAGTTAAATGACCAATATGAATCTTTTTAAACTTAAGAGAGCAAAATGAACATCAAGGTTAAGATACAGAAATAAAAAGGGTATTAAACCTATCTTAATATATATTATTTTAAAAAGAATAAACATAATATATTAAAAATAGTTATAAAAAAGAAATAGAATACATTGAGTAGTATATATTATTTGACTCACCTGATCAAAAAGGAATCAATACTCTG